TTATTTCCATTGTTAAATTTAAAGTTCATCATGGTTTTGTTCATTTCGTTGCTGATCATAATTGTTGATTTCTTCTCCATTTCCTCTCTTAGTGAAAATATTCCCAACAGTCTCAAACAATAATTGTGCGATGGAGAATGGAATCACCAAGGCTTAACGAAGTGATGAAATCCGGTAAATTAATACCTTGTCCTCTCAACTATTTTGGTAAGTCGAATTCTAATTTCGATTTCATGATTATAAATGGTACGTATTGATGTGAATATAATATGCATATTATTGATATGATATCTTCAACATCCTTAAGATGGATTTTTGTTTATTGTGCATATATATATTTTTTGTTGAAGTTGAGATACGTACATAGAGTATCATGTATTGGAATCTATGCATTATAGAGCATATATGATATCTAATGATGAAAATATGTTGATGAAGATCTTGTGTGCATATTGAATTATATTTGCAATAAGAATCATGATATTGCATGAATAAATTAATATCATACTTTTGATGTATCATGAATACGGTAAAATGTCCGATTGTAATATTTGAACTAGAAAAATCATGTTTCATCAATTTGTTGAAAAATGCGTTAAAATAATATTTATGTTCATGGGTATTGAATTTGTGTGTTGTAGTGATTAAATGCACACGATAGATAGTGAATCTATAACATGGTATATATGTATTGAAGTACATTCGTGAATTTTATTCAATAGTTTTATGGGAAATAATTGAATGTTTAGAATTATGAATTTATTTTCATGAATTTTCATTACTATTTATTATATTGGAGTATGAAATTAACATGGTGAATTAGTTGATTGATTTCATGTCTTTTGAGATGATATTAAAAGTTAATAATGATAGCCTCAATAAAATGAGATGATTTATACAAAAAAAAAAAAATTACATAAGAGTATATGGTGAATTGATAGTCATGATTTGACATGACATTATAACATTCTGCGAAATATCAAAAGATTGATAAATTGCATATATTTTGAGAAATTGCAATTCATGTGAATCAAGATGCTTAACACTCTTCATTGTACTATACTACAATGCGTGAAACCAATTAAAGTTGGTTTATGATTTAAAAGTTTTATTGGTCTATGAGAAGACCTTGATCAAATTGTGATCAAATTAAATGTAATTGATGTACAATATATTGTGTGCAATTGAAATATATTATGGATTGACGAAGTACTTAAACTTTCTCGAAACATTTGATATAGATATTATCTATTTAATAATGAATTGAACTATGAAAGAGTTGACAAATTCTAAGTTCAAGTATAACCCAAAATGTAGGGATTAACATTAATGTTTGTGAACTTATATGAGAAAGATCAAAACTTGTGGATGCATCTTTACTAGATTGCATATGTATTCCTTATTAAGGAATTGTTGGGGTAACTTAAATTAAAAGTTACATTTCCTTATACCTTATAGTCATAGAAGAATGTCTATGAAGTGAAAAAGTAAGAGAACTCTTATATAATTATAAGGATGATATAGATTGGTTTAAAATAGTTGTGATGGGTTGAAAGACAATTATGACATTTGTTTGGGTATGCAAAAACAACTAGAATACTTGGATAATATTCATAAAAGTTGAAATGCATTACGATGTTCAATAAAATATTGAACACTCATGATTCTGAAATACACTAGTAAATATGATTGATTTGCATAGTGTTTAATAGAAATCATCCAACCATAAGTGGAAATTGATAAAACTTTACATAAAGCTAGTGAGAAGCATATGGTTTCGTAAAACGATTTCTTAGTGGATGACAATTATCTATTAAATGAATCGGTCATTTGCTAGCTTAATTTAATAAGATACTAAGTCATATGTCTAGACACGTGAGTCTAAGACATGATTACATAAGGAAGTTAATCAAGAGGAATAATTTTCCTAAATCATGTAATGTAAATCAAGAACTTGGTGGATATTTTATCTAAATCTCTAAATAGAGATATCTACTTCGAGTAGGATATGGTTGAAACTCTTAAACCAGAAGATCCACCAATGATGGCAACCCTACCTGTCATTACTCAAAAGGTAATCCACGAGTTCAAAGGGTAACAACAAGCCATTTGTTATGTGGATATTTTCAGCATTATAAAATCCGCAATAACATTATCCTAGTTATTATAATGTTGGTTGTTACTAAAGTTAGGGATGAGTTTTAAACTCTTAATGAAGTTCAGTATTAATTACAAGTATATTAAAAGTAACAAGATACTGAAAGAACTTCACCTAAATAAACTTTGAGGTGGTGCCGCCTCAATAGAGAGTTGAGTTTCTCTCTTAAAAGTTTGTTAAAAATGATGAGCGCAAGGTCATATTAGCGCTAAGCGAGTTAAGGAACTTGAGAACACGTGATACTCGTGCGTGTGTTCTAATCGGTATTGTCATTTGGAATAACTGGTTCAAAATTTCATGCTACCTTTGATTCCGACATTACTTTGTTTGAATTACACTATGGTTAGATTCAAATCGAAAGATAACTAATCCTTATGCATAAGTATTGTATATTTTTGAATATGAGATTTTACTGAATTTCGAACAAGTGGGGGATTGTTGTTCAAAACAATAAAAATGAGACTTGGAATGAGAAATGGATCTAATGGCCGCATGAGTGAACCATGCGGCCGCATGACCATATACCGAGACATTTTGTCCTGGTATGTTTTGTACCATGCCGCATGGTACAAATTTTCGACCCTTTTTTTAGCCCTTTTTATCCGTTGTGGTTTTGAATTTGGTGCCTTTTGAAGATATTTTGGCACCATTTCGTACACATTTTCTGATGGCTATATATAGATGATCATATTTCTTGTAAAGATGTTGAAAAAACATAACAAGTATAAGATTCATTCCAAAATGAAAAGAACAACTTCTTTCTTTTTCCATATTCATATTTCCCTCCTTGTGTTCTCAAGTTTGAGTAGAAATACTTAGCGCTTTGGTATTTCTACAACAAGACTTGATTAATCCTTCAAACCATTTGCCGGAAGACTTTTAAGCACCAAAATTGTATCGGAGAGGGGCAAATATCGTTTGAGAACAACGTTTATCGCGTTTGAGCCTTTCATGTCATTAAAG